TGAATGATCACAACCCCTTCTCCATCTCCCTTCTTCGTAGTGTCTCCCCTGTCAGTGAAAACCAGGTGGCATCCAGTGAGGGCTATGTGCTGTTCTACCAACTGATGCAGGAGCCACTGCGGTGCCTGTGACACCCCCTTCAAGCCCTGGCACCTGTGACACCCTTTCAACACCCTTAAGCCCCAGGCTCCCCATTTACCTCAGAGACGTCTATTTTTGTGTCTTTTTAATCGGGGAGGGGGGAGGGGTTGGTTGTAGTTCCCATTATTTTTTTTATTAAAAACTACACTTCCACCTGGAGGCTCCATTGTCTCCCATTCCCATGTACAGAGCTCCCCAGGCCCTTGACCGTGTACAGCCCCCAGACCCCGTTACAATCTCACTTTTTGTGAATAAATTTATTAAGAAAAAGTGATGTCCTTATTTGTATTTGTGGAGATTTGCATTTTAGGGGTGGATACAGAACTGGGCCCAATTGTTGTCTTACTGGGACCCAGTGCCCTCTCCGAATAGATGGGGGTGCTCTCAGACCGTCGGGTGGGGGTGGGGATCGTGGTGTCAGACCCAGACCCACGGATGCCAACGTTTGCCCAAGCAGTGAAGATTTATATTGGGAGGAAACTTGAAATTCGTGATGCTGCGGGGAAGCGTGGAACCAGAGTGCAGGCACCGGGGCGACGGGTTTGGGCGGCCGAGGAGGGCTGCCCCTCGAGGGCGAGGCACCCAAGGACCCCTGTTGACAAACACTGGGTACGTTGCCGGGCGGCCCCAGCTCCCGTAGGCCCAGGCCGTTGCTAACATCAAGGAGCTGTTTATGGAGCCGTCTCCCCACGGACCAGCCTCCAGTGTCTATTCTCCCCACAACCAACGCTCACGGGGCCCTCCCTCCAGGGTTCTCACCCTAGCGGGGTCTGGGAAGCTCGAGCTGGGGAATGCTAACCGGGATTCTGCTCTCGCCGCCCCAGCCCTGGGGAACGCGGTGCCGGATACAGCAGCTCCCTTCAACCTGGCACCGAAGCAGTTAACCTCCAGACCTCCAGCGCGGTCTTTTACCACCACAGTCCGTCCGCCTTTGCGGGAGGGCGGGGGGGGGGAAGTTGCTGCCAGTTCAATGTTTTCATTGGCGGGTGTGATCCGGGCCTTCCAGGACCCACCAATCCTGAAGCAGGAAAGATGACGACGGACGCATGCCGCGAGAAAGGAGTGGACGGAGAGCCGGAGGGACCGAAAGGGTTGGGGGCGGAGGCAGCGACTCCCGGGGAGGTGCAGGAGGGGGAGCGCGTCAGAACCCCGGCGGCGGGTCGCGGCCCCCAGCCCTGCGCCGGCAGATAGCGTGGGTGGGGCGCCTATCTCCCTCCCTGCTGCGCCGACCGAGTGTCTTGAGACCTCTACCTCCTCCATTTCCTCTGTTCCCTCAGTAGGTGAGTCTTGGACCCTGGGCGGGGACCTCACTGTTGCACCACCCATCCGTGGGCTTTGCCTTAGTTTCCCTTAAAGCTGTGAGTGGCCCGGGGTGGAAAGCGGGCCCGGAGGGGCTTGTGGAAAGAAAGCAGGGTACCCCCTGCTTAGCCTGTCCGTGTCCTTCCCCCCCAGGTTCCCCATGAGCCGGACCGTCGTTGTGCTAGGCGGAGGCATCAGCGGCCTGGCCGCCAGTTACCACCTGAGCCGGGCCCCCTGTGCCCCCAAGGTGAGTGCCCCGCCGTGCGAGTGGGAGCCTCCTTTAACACTCTCCGCACGTTTCCGTAAGAGGAGAATGCGCCGCCCCTTTGTCCCGTGGCTGTAGGTCGTGCTGTAGTGTCCCCCTCCTGTCCCCAGGTAGTGCTGGTGGAGGGCAGCGAACGCCTGGGAGGCTGGATCCGTTCCGTACGAGGGCCAGGTGGTGCCATCTTCGAACTTGGACCTCGAGGAATTCGGCCGGCGGGGGCCCTGGGAGCCCGGACCCTGCTCCTGGTGAGCGGTTTGCGGAATGCCTCGGAGGGGTTGCCTTCACCCGAGGACAGAGTTGAGGGGAGGAAGTGTCTTTGGTGGGTCAGTCCCTTCCTTAGTTTCTCCTCCTCCTGAGGACGTGTGGAAAGCAGGTTTCTGAGCTTGGCTTGGACTCAGAAGTGTTGCCTGTCCGCGGAGACCATCCAGCTGCCCTGAACAGGTTCCTGTATGTGGGTGGCGCCCTGCACGCCTTGCCCTCTGGCCTCAGGTAACACTGTCACCCCTTTAGCGCACTCCTACTATGCTCACATCCTTTCCATTTTCCCATCTCTCAGTCTATCAGCTCTGCCAGCAAAAAAAAAAAAATCAAAGATTCCTCCTCACTCATCTGTCCTCTGCACAGGGGGCTGCTTCGCCCTTCACCTCCCTTCTCCAAACCTCTGTTTTGGGCTGGGCTGAGGGAGTTGGCCGCGCCCCGGGGCAGAGATCCTGATGAGTCTGTGCACAGTTTTGCCCAGCGCCGCCTTGGACCTGAGGTAATACTGCCCAGAGGCCCCCAGATCACTGCCCTCCCAAACCAGCTGCAGGGCCCCTTACTCAAACCAACCACCTAGGGGCTATTATATATCATTTGGGAAGGCCCTCTTCTTCATACCCAGTAACCCCCACAACTCAGTGTTGGGGGTGAATGCCTTCACTTCCCATCCTGCTGTTGTGGTGGTACTGCTCCCAATCCAAACTCTACCCCACCGCCGTTCCCTACCAGGCAGGGACAGTGGAAATTAATCAGTGTAGCTTATTCCTTGGCCTCTCAATTCTAGTCTCACCCTTAAGGTGGCGTCTCTAGCCATGGACAGTCTCTGCCGTGGAGTGTTCGCAGGCAACAGCCGTGAGCTCAGCATCAGGTCCTGCTTTCCCAGTGTCTTCCAGGCTGAGCAGACCCATCGTTCCGTATTACTGGGGCTGCTGCTGGGGGCAGGTGAGGGGCGGATTGGTTCAAGGGGAGAGGATACTAAGGACTACCAGAGTAAGGGACTGGAGGCAAGGGGTGCTATTTCACTGATTCTTCTCGGCTTCCTCCTCTGCAGGGCGGAGCCCACAGCCAGACTCAGCACTCATCCGCCAGGCCCGAGCTGAGCGCTGGAGCCAGTGGTCACTCCGGGAAGGGCTGGAGACGTTGCCCCAGGCGCTTAACACCCACCTGATTAGTAGGGGGGTCAGTGTTCTTAGAGGCCAGCCCGTCCGTGGGCTCAGCCTCCAGGCAGAAGGGCGCTGGAAGGTAGGTGAGCCCCTAGAGTGTAATGAACCTGTGTTAGAGTTTCCGTCTTTGCCTAAATGTTTTAAGCAGACCAGGCCTGGCACGACTGAAGTTACTCATTGTTTTCCTGCCCAAGTTATTTAAATATAGGCTACCCCAGGTCCTTAGACCTTATCCGTGGACCTTCCTCCAAGACCCGTTTGGTCCAAGACTGGATGGAAGTAGTGCCTATAGGTGACTCAGAGGCAGGGGAAGGAATAACCCAGCTCTGCAAACCATTGCAGAGTGGCTACGCTGGCTTCTGTCTAGCCACTTCCTGATTAATGGAGTGATTTTTGTGCCAACTATAGTCAATCTCTTCATCCTGGGTCGGCACACAGTCTCTCCTGCCACTTGGTGCCTGGGAAATTGAGGCAAAATCCCCATTATTTCTCTGTTTCTCAAATGTTTTCATCCTGTCAGGTGTCTCTCGGGGACAGCAGCCTGGAGGCTGACCACATCATTAGTGCCATTCCAGCTTCAGGTAATGGCCACCTCCCTCTCCCCAACCAAGGTGGGGCAAACTAGATTCCTGGAGCAGCAGGACCATACCATGCCCTTGAACGTCATCCCTATGGGAGTCTAGTCCTTAGGAAGGTTATTGAAACTGTAGCAGGAAGGCCTCCTGAAGCTGGCCTCTGCCTGCTGCCCTCCAGTGCTCAGCAGGCTGCTTCCTGCGGAGGCTGCACCTCTGGCTCACACCCTGAGTACCATCACTGCTGCATCTGTGGCCGTGGTCAATCTGCAGTACCAAGGAGCTCGTCTGCCTGTCCAGGTGTGACACCCAGGAAGCAGAGACCCAGGCTCAACTGGAACCCTTCCCTCCTGACCCGGTCTCTTCCTTTTCCCAGGGATTTGGACATTTGGTGCCATCCTCAGAAGACCCAGGTGTCCTGGGAATCGTGTACGACTCAGTTGCTTTCCCTGAGCAGGATGGGAGCCCCCCTGGCCTCAGAGTGACTGTGAGAGGCAGGGGGCTTTGCGTCGTGTGGGTTTCCAGAGGGCTGCCCTGTGCCTCAGTACGTGTAAGGCCAGGCTGGTCAGTGCCATGTCCTCCCTAGGTGATGCTGGGAGGTTCCTGGTTACGGACGCTGGAAGCCAGGGGCTGTGTCTTGTCGCAGGAGCTGTTCCAACAGCAGGCACAGGAAGCAGCTGCCACACAGTTAGGTCTGAAGGAGCCACCGAGTCATTGCTTGGTCCACCTACACAAGGTGAGTTGGGATGAGCACCCCTCAGCTCCCTACTGAAAGCCTTTAAGGCAGGAAATGGTCTATTTGTCGCTGTCCACCCAGGCCTGGGACATCAATAATAAACTCTTCCTGTGTCCTTTCTTTTCTCCCCAGAACTGCATCCCCCAGTATACACTAGGCCACTGGCAAAAACTGAGTAAGTTGGGAAAACAGCTGCACGGAGGTGGGCCAACAAATCAGACCCCTAACTGTTACCACTGCTTTTATCTTTTCCTTCCAGAGTCAGCTACCCAATTCCTGGCTGCTCAGAGGCTGCCCCTGACTCTGGCTGGAGCCTCATACGAGGGGGTTGCTGTTAATGAGTGTATAGAAAGTGGGCGCCAGGCAGCTGTCCGGGTCCTGGGCACAGAACCTAGAAGTTGAGCCCCAACTCACATCGGTTCCTGCCCCTGCTGGCGGGGGATTCTTTCACTCATGAAAATAAAAATTGCTGGAGCTAGGCTTGACCTGGCTGTTGCCACCTACAGCATATAGGGGGGGTCAGAGACAGGCAAAGGGTGCCTGAGATGCAGAAAACGGGAGCAGAGGCGAGACAAAGTCCTTTATTAGAAAAATTATCAAAATCCCAGCCCCCTGAGCCAGGTGCAGAAGAGGGAGCTACTCCAGCGCCGGCAGAAAGGCCCCAAGAGGGGCTTCCTTCACCAAACACACTTCCTGGGGTCCATAAATAGAATAAATATTCACAGAGGTCCAGGAGAAGCCAGATAACTCTTCTCTCCATGGAAGAGGAAGGGACTTGGGGGCCAGCCCTGCTCCTACCCCAAGGGTGGGAGACTCCCAGGAGTCATCACATAAAATCATGACATCAGGGATTCACAGTCATAAGCCCTGGCAGGTGACCCTAGAAAGAGGGACCCCCAGTTCCAGAGGAGCCCAGCTCCAGTCCAGCCCTTGCCCCCACCACAGCTCTAGAGTTGTCTTCCTACATCCCTCTAAGAGCAGTGAGGAGCCGAGGGCGGGGGAGAGTACAACCCCGCTGATTCAGTTTCATGACGAAGCGGGCAGGAAGGAGTCAGTGTGAACCACGGGGCACTGTGTGGTTGGCAGTAGGCAGGGGGCCAGGCCTGGCTGGGGGGCGGCGCTGCAGCATCTCTTGACGGAAGGCCTGGGAGGACCCAGGTGGGTAACGGGGACCAGAGGGAGTCCGGGGACCCCGAGGGTCAGTTCCAATGTCTGCTGTTATGTTGGTATAGAGAGGGCCCAGCTCTCGAGCCAGCAACTGGTATGTCAGTGAGTTCATCCCATCTTGTGTCCAGGAATTCTGGGTCCGGACCAGGAGGTCAAATCTGAGGGTTAGAGGTTGGATACTAAGACTGACAAATCCAGGGACCTTTAGGAGTTCCCTGGCTGGGATGCAGAACCCCGAGGATCCAGTGACAATTCCCTGGCAGTCGTCCCTTCCTACCTGTGGGGATTTTCCTCGTTGCCCTTATCTCCTCGGTGCTTCACCATCTTATAATGTCCCACAGACGTAGGGGGGCGAGAGATCTTCATCCCAGCCAGGCGGACTCTGTGGGAAAAGGGCACCTTGGAGGATCCAGAGGGAGGAGTTAAGGCTGCTAAGGGAGGGACTGCATGTTTCTGCACACAAAGAACAAGTACTATTAGGCAAAAAGTGCCAAGAACTGGAAGAGAAGCAAAGTCAAAAAGAAGGATGTGGCTGAAGAGAACAAAAGCTGGATGTATACACAATGTCAGGGCCGGGCACCGTGGGCCCTTAAATGACTGGCAGAGGCAGGCTTGCACCTCCCACCTTGCTTCCTTCACGGCTCCCAGGAGCTGCCCTTGCCACCTGGGAAGGGCAGGAAGAGGAACCATTCTTCAGAGGCCGGCACAAGGCTAGAGCTGCAGATCCGAGCTCGGCAATTCTTACTTAGAATGGGCTGAGCTGCCCCAACTCCTCTGCCCCGCATCCCCCTGTCCACACCCCCGTGTTAAGAAATGGGCGGAACCAAGGAATAGGGACCTGCAAAGGAAGAAACCCCAACTCTGACACACAGGGGCAGGAAGTAAAGATGGCCTGGGAACGCACTGAAAGAACACATATTTAGACATTGCCCGGTGCTTTATACAGAGAACAGGAATCCACAGAGATGTCATCCCAGAGGACCCAAGGGGGAGGGGAAGCAATGGGTTCAGCATATCAAGCCAAATATTCACACCACAGACAGGAAAGTGGGTCAGCTGAGGCTGAAGGTCAAAGTGTTTCACATGCTAAAAATGAACTGGCATCATGCCAAAGGCCCAGGTTCTTTTTAAAAAAAAAAAAGTGATTCTGGGCTACACTGAGCAGAGCTCCTCCTCTCCCAGCCCCTTATGGAAGTGGTCTGGATGCAACCCTAGCAGAAAGCAGGACTGGTGTCTAAGCCCCTTTCCAGTACAACCCATCCATCTTACCCTCCCTCCCAGGGACCACTAAGCAGATGGAGGGGACTGAAGGATGACGGAATGGGGAGCAGCACACAAGCCTGACTTGGGGAGACCAAAAAAACTAAGGGAGAAGGGCGGGCCCAGTGCAGAACCCGGGAGCTAAAGGTTAGTATTAAAATGCCATGACCAGGGATGGGCTCAGAGGACAGGGATCCGGGCTGGGGGCAGAGAAGGAAGGAGGGAGGTGGTGGCAGGAAGTCTGACCTGGTAGCAATGTCGTCATCCTCGCCACCCCAACCCCAGTATTCATTGGGGAAGCCATTCATCTTCAGGTACTGGTCAGGAGTGAGTGCCGATACCCCTCCAAAGTACTGGGGATACGGGAGGCTAGGGAGAGAAAGATCTTTGGATTGCACAAATCTGGGGGGAACTGCGACTTCCCTACCCACAATCCCTTGGGCTCTCCTTCCAACAGACAGTGGGTTTCCCTGCTTCCCAGCACCTTCTCATGCCCTGTACCTGTATCCAAACTTGTTCATGGCAACAGCAACATGCCGGGGTCCCCGGGGGTCACACACATACAAATTGTGGTCGTTCTCTGGCAGGAGGTCCACATCATGCAAGAACAGGCAGTCCCACTCTTCATCGCGCAGGGCCTCCCGCACCCCGACATTCAGCAGCTTTGCCCTATTAAATGTTCCATTTCCAGCCTGGAAGATAATGGAGGAGGACCAGACTGTCTGCAGGCAGCATGGAGAAAAGGAAGCAGAAGTATAAAAGTGAAAAGTGAAATCAAAGTGGCATGTGGGGCAAGGAAAATGAAGAGAAAGACAAAATAGCTTTCATGTTTTCATGCAACAAAACTTTTTATGGCATCAGTATGTGTCTGATACTTACATGCTGCTGTCGAGCATTTAATGCTGACAGTCGGCAACCATGAGAAACAGGTGTCTATTAGTTTTCACTCTCTGCCTCATTTTAGGGGGTAAGGGTCTTGCTCAAGGTCACATATGGGACAAATGGCAAAACTAGAATTTTAGCCCATATCCAATTCTAAATTTGTACAATTCCAAATTCAACAAAGGAAAAATCATGGAAGAGTATAGGGCAGTGGGAAACAGAATATGGAGAAGTACAGGACTAACAGGTTGGCAGGGCAATGCCAGCGGCTTCCCCTATTCAACAGTTAGACTCTCTTAATTATGCCAGGACCCACTGTATGAGAGTGGAGTGGCATTTACCTGAGGCTTCCCTACAAGAAAGGAGTGGGGCCTGGGGGTACCTGGTGGATGACATAGATGCCATAAGCAAGCTGCTGCCGCTGCAGAAAGGGGTGCAGGTGGTAGAGCAGGAGGCGCAAGTGGTGCTCCCGAGCACGGTGGGGCACAATGATGGCTGTTCGGGAGCGGGGCTCACACCCTGCAGGGCGGTACCGGCCGCCTGGTTCCACTCGGGGATTCCTCTCCACAATCTCCACCAGCGATGGCACCGGGCTGAAGGACACAGACACGGGACCCACTGTTGGGAAAGATTGGCAAGGTTAGGGATTAGAGGGGCAAGGAGAAAACAAGGATCACCAGGGACTGGGAACCCTGCTGGTTCTGGGGCTCAGCTGCCCCACGGGCTCTCAGAAATCCACAAGCCTTGAGTTTCCCATCACTGGGGCAGCTCTGCATAGTCTGGAAGGTGCAGGCTCCTTACCTAGCCTGCTTTCTTTTATGTTCCATCATCTCTCCTGCCTCACAAGGCCGGAAGCTACAGTTAGGGGATAAGGACTCCAGCTAACTAACTAAACCAGGGCTCATCTCCGAAAGCAGCAATTCCTGGCCTAAAGGAGGAAGAGCCCATAAACGGGCAGACAGTGAAAGGCGGTGGCTCAACCTAGGAGCCTGATCTCAACTGCAAATTCAGAGTCCACGTATCTCAACCTCAGCGCACCTTTCAATCACATTAACCTCCTGTCCTAAGTCCTCCTGCCACCCTATGCCCACCCAAGCCTCACTGCCCCCACACCTGGGCTCTCCCTTCACCTTCTCCTTCCATCTGCACTCACCTAAGAAAGGAGATCGTTCTGGACAGTAGGGCAGACCTTGAGGAGCTGGAGGGGGCCCTGGGGCAACAGGAGCCCCAGGCAGGTGGCTGAGGTTACTGTAGACATCATGAGGATGAGAATAGTCAAACGTGGGCCCCTGCTCTCGGCCAAACAGAGCACTGAGGCTTCGGAAGCCCCCTAGGGACAGGTACATCATGACGGCCAGCTGGGAGCCCACAAGCAGGGCCAAAGTGCAGGGCCGCTCCAGCAGCCTCCGCAGCATCCTGGGGTGAGGTCTGGGGAGGGAGGGAGGAGCGTTCTGGGGACACACAGGAGGACAGCAAGCCAGCAGAAAGATCACAGCATAGGCGCAAAGGTGGGGGGCAAAGAAGAAAAAGGCAACAAAGTCAGAGAAGGGAGCACAGGGGCTACAGTCACACAAAGAAACGAAACAGCGTAACCACCAGCAGCCCTACCACCTGCCACTTCCAGCTGTTTCACTCTCTCACCTCCTCCCCAAACCACTCCTGCCATCTACTCTGTCCCCACCCCAAGGATGCTTACATTACTCAGGTCCCTCCTCCACTTGAGGAGTCTCTGCACAACCTCCCTTCCAGTTTTAGAGGGGAGAGTCTCACCTAAATTCAAGCTGTCTTCTTCGGGATCATGGGGGTCCAAGGGGTCCCAGCGGGGCAGACATGTGAGGCATTATCTAAAATTGGAAATGTCACAGAGGACAGAGAAAGGCTCCATCCAGCACTCCAACAGCAATCCTGGGACCAGCTGGAACAGAAGTGGTCAAGGATAACCAGCCACCCGTAGAGGGGCAGCAATTAGTATCCGGATGAAAGCAGTTTCAGCTGGGGAAGTGAACGAAGGGAGCAGGAAAGCAAGCAGGAGATGCTAATTCCCTGGCCTCTTTCCGGAGCTGGAGTGTCAGGTTCAATCCGTACTTAACCATTTCCCCACCCCAACAGGGCCAACCTGTTTGGGGAGAGGGGGACAGGGCAGCTAATGGAGACATTTTTCCCCCCAGGGTGTGAGGCAGTCCTGACAGGACGGTGGAGTGGCCTCCAGAGAACCCAGGGCGGAGTAGGAAACAGGCTCCTTTCTGTTCTCCACGTACCTGGGAGCTAGCTCCGCAGGTGCAGAGAGCGTGACCACCAGGGAGCTGCGAGCAAACAGCCCTGGAGCGCGGCGGGAAGTAGGGTGGGGGTGGCGTCCTCTACCGTTCTTACCTTTCCCCAGGTCCTAGAGGGGTCAGGACAGGGGCTACTGCTAAAGGGAGGGAGGGAGGGGGGCTGAAACCTGTCGGGCGTACCTGGGCTAGCTCACCTAGAGGGGCGTGGTCAGCACCCTGCAGGGCTTTGCAGCCCAGCTCTCTGGGAGCACCTCCACCCCACCTCAACCTCCTCTAGCGTTTGCCCTACCTTGCAATGTGAGCCAACATACTTCCAGCTGGGACCCCCTCGCTGCTCAAGCTTGCTTCAGCCTTTACCCCAAACTCTTCACTCCCTCAACAGACTGAACCTTTCTCTTGGGCCTCACACCCCACCATCCTTAGCCCACAGACCTGGTCGTCTGGTTGCCGTCGTCACCGCCACCCAGACTGCCTGGCAGGGACCGCTACCGCCATCTTGGAAGCGGGCACCTCGGGGGCGGGGCGTTGCGTCACGGGGCGGAGCCGCCCGGGTGGGCGGGGGCGGGGCACCGTACGGCGGGGCAGGCCTTGGGTCAGGCGGAGCGGGGCGGAGCGACTCCTCTCGGTCTCCCGCAGTTGGAGCGGCTCCCGCGGGATTCGGTTTCTCATCCAACATTTGCAGAAACTGCCCCTCAAACCAGGATTTTCTTCGCGGCCGCGACCGACCAAAAGGCCGGCCGGACAGTTTCTGGCGTGTCTGAAGACCTCACCCCCACCGCGGGCTTGGCCGAGCCCCTTTAGCGGGAAGTCAGTGGCTCCTCTTACAGCCTCGTGCCACTAAGTATCACAACTGTTTCTTGCTCAGGGTGCACAGTTGCAGACTGCTGTGGTGCATTTTTGTATCCCCATGGTATCCCGCAGGCCTTGAAATAGAAACGGTTACTAACACAAGGAAACATTGAGTGAGGACGCAAGGGCAGAGTCTGCTTTAATGTAAAAATGTGTTTCCCCAGATACTAAAGTGGACGCTCCATTAAAATGCAATATATTTATCTTGTGTTTTGTGTTCCTTAGAAGCAGATGATCACACTGAGGAAACGAATAACTCAGAGTCAGCCTCAAAAAGTCCATGGTCTTGTGAGCGTGTGTATAGGGGGAGGAGAAGAATGTATACAATGCAGTGTGATAAATACCATAGCCCAGAATTCTCACACATGGGATTAGGGAAAGGCAGCCCAGAAAAAGTGGTGGCTGATGGGAAACCTGAAGGACTTGTCTGTAGCACATCCTTCTGCTTTATAAGATTGCGTTTCCATGGGAGCTTTTTCACAACTCTGTAACGGATCTACTTGCAAATTCTGTCCTGGATCTACTTGCAAACTCTGTCCTGCGAGAGATTCAATTAACCCCCTATTCCCCACATTGTGCAAAACAGTTTTTGCTTCCATTTTCATATTTATTTCTGTAGTCTTGATCTGTAAACGTGTGTGTTCTTCACATTTTCTTTTGAACCAGTTATATAACATCTGCCAGTTCCTTTATGAGTTAAATAAAATATTTGACACGTGTTCATTTTCATGGGGCCTTGACTAAAACTCGTTTCGTTGACCGAACTTTAGACAGGCTCCTCTGAACCATCTTTTCAAATAAGCCTCCCCTTGGGCCCCTAGCCACTGTAGCAAGAATCCTGCTAAGTCAGTTTAGCAAGAATATCCACCCTTAGTATCTGATCACTCTGACCTGCCTGCAGCAAGAATCCCATTAAGTCAGTTTAGCAAGAATCTCTCTCTACTTGTAATTTTCCATCCACTGACCCTCTCATTGACTCATTGGTTATAAATAACCTCTTGTCCTTACTATATTCAGAGTTGAGCCCAATCTCTCTTGCATAGAGATTGTCTTGACACCTATCACAAAGCACTGAATAAAATATTCCTTACTGTTTTTACAAATGTCAAATAATTTTTATTTTAGCAGTGTGAAAGTCATAATTTTACCTTTTTCTAAAAATTATCTTTTAACAGATGAATCATGTTCTGGGCAGAGGAAACCGTAAGTGCAAAAGTCTGGAAATAAGGAAGAAATTAGGGAGTTTAGAAAATTTAAGAAGGATCAGCAAGTCTAGACAACAAAGTGAAGGGAATGGTAAGATATGAGATGGAAGAGGTAAATTTCTGTCAGATAATGAAAAACTCAATAAGCCACATTAAAAGTCTTTGTTTTGTTTTTTATCCTGAGGGCAGAAGGAAGGCATTCAAGTGCACTAAACAGAGGGTGCTGTGATCAGAACCATCAGACGTTAGGAAGTTTACTGTGGTGGAAACATGAAGCATTAATGGAATTGTCAAGCCTGGAAGCAGGGACACCATTTAGGAGAGGTTACGGGAAATCCAAGAATAAGCTCAATCTCATGCAAAATAAGGTAATATAGGTGGGACTAGAGGGAAGAGGATACATTTGAGAACGTTATTTATTTATTTATTTGTTTGTTTGTTTAAGTTATCATTGATATACACTCTTCTGAAGGTTTCACAGGAAAAACAATGTGGTTATTACACTCACCCTTATTACCGAGTACCTTTGAGAACTTTAGAAGACAAACAGGACTTGTTGATTCACCAAATGTAACCAGTCTGGTCTAGAGGATTCCTGGATTTCTAAAGTAGACCACTGGGTCGATGGTGGAGCTATTTAATGAGAAACAAAACTTAGAAGAGGCACATGTGGGGGAAATGGTAGAGATGACAAGTTAAACTTTGGACTTAGTAAGTTTGAGGTGACTGTAAAGACTCAAAATGAGATAATACTGTGTTTGAGTATAATGCCAGGTTTGAAACCCATTGGCTGTGTGATGTTGAGCAATATTCGCTCTGGTTTTCATCTGCAAAATGAACCCACTCTTACAGGGTTTCGTGATAATTGGTGAGAACTACAGAAAAGTGCCAGCAGAAGCAGATGTTCAATATATCTGACTTTTGAACACAGAGTAGGAGCTGAGCAAAAAGCTCTGATTTTCTAAGGAACTCACTGTGTAGTGGAAAAGACAGATTTACACAGATAACTGAAATGTGCCTCTCCCGGAGGACCCTTCCTCTGAGCCTCCGCTCCCCCACAGTTGCAAAGCTGACCTTCACCATCTAGCTACCATCTTCTGACAACTCCCCTATGTTCATCTGTAAGCTTTCTGTTTTCAAGAGCCTTCAACTCCGCCCCATGTCACCCTGGCCATACTCTGGACTTAGTCATCACCTTGAACTGCTACAATTCTGAAAGCTTAAATTCTAGTATGCTGGTTTCTACCACAACATCCTGTCTTTCTGTATTCTGAATAAATCCTGGAGCCTCTAGTAGCCCAGTCATGACACTCAATACAATAAAAGAAACCCAGTCTAGTAATCAAAAGCTAATTTAAAATCATTTAAATCTCTACTTCATTTCTGAAGGAGACATCAGAGGTACAGCAGAGAGGGGAGTGCAGCGGGGGCACATTTTAATGCACAGCCTAATGTCTTCAAAATCTTCTCTCCCATTTCCCCATTTTCCATCCTGATAGCTGATTTGCCCCAAGATTATCGCTTCCACCCTACTCAGCTCCTCGCAGTATCATCCTCCAGCTTCAGTTCTGTTCTCTTGACTTCTCTTTGGTTTTGCACAGCAGGCAAGAGCCGGGAAGCTGGCCTAGCAAGCAGAAATCTGTCTTCCTCTACCAGCACCTTACTCTCCACGGGGTCCCTTCATCCTTATCGCTTACTTCTGGAAGGGGAGGCAGGCATCTTCTCCAGGAATACTTCTGTGACCCCATATTCTGTGCTAGGTGCCCTTTGGCTGTCATGGCACCTATCAGACAGGTAACTGGCTTAACCACCAGACCGTGAACTGTCTTAGGATAGAAACCATGTCTTCCCTTTTACCATCGCCTGAATGTAATGAGAATTTTTTTGCACAAATTCTACAGAATAGCCCAACTTGGATCTGACTAAAGAGGTCCTTGGTATAAGTTTTCCTCATGCTAATGCAGGAATGGGAAGGGAAACAGGCAAAGGAAGAGATCTGAAGCAGGAAAAAAAATCCACATTACTAGACTTACTAGAAGCCGGACACAGAGCCAAGCATTTGTAACATTAAATTCTTACAACCTTTCCATAAGGTAGTAGTGTATCTATTTTACAGATAAAGATACCGAGGCTCACAGAGATCAAATAATTTAAGATCACATCATTAGACGTAAGCAGCAAATTTTAGAGTCAGTCTGACTCCTCACAAAAGTCTCTGTCCTTTCCAGACACTGTGAGATCATGATTTGATTCCAGTTTACAGTCCAATGGCTTATTTACTGAACACACAAATGGGATAAACAGTCAGTTCTCATTGGGAAAGTGGGTCAGTTAATGTATTTTCCTCCTAACCATTTTCGGGCCAACATCCTCATATTTTCAGCTTCTCAATGCTTATTAGCATCTTACATTATCAATAGAATGTGTAGCATATCTATGAAGGTGGACATGCGTGTATATGTCAGTGTGTGTTGTTTGTATGTTACTGGGTGTGTAGGGCGTGTTGCTGGTTGCCCAAAGCCTGTGAGGGATCCCTTACATCTACTTCCTCCCTTCCCTTCCCTTCCCAGTGCTCCTTAAGTACTCTGGGCCTGTGCCCATATAAGGTCCTGTCTGGGGAAGTTCTTTGGTATCCTTGCATCGCCCCTCCCCTTACTGGCCTCTTTCTGAGCATTTTTAGAACTAGTGGTTTCCCCCAGCTGTCAGCTGGGTCCTCATGCTGCCAGTGATTTGGGCTTCCCCCAGCGTCAGTCGATGGAGAAGGTGTTCAACTGGTTCAGAAGCGTCCTCTTAGCCAATAAAGTGTTAATACATTGAATTCCTCGGTCTCCTTTCCACCCTGACCAACAAGAATGCTGATGTTGATACTCGTTGCCAATCTGGTGTTTTAGAAGACAAAGTACTGTAACACTACGTAGAGATTGAAGAAGTGGGGCTAGAGATGGAGTGGAAGAGCAAATGTGGAGCCCAACCCACCCCCACCTCCCAGAAACCCTGGCTTTCTCACCCCACCACAAAAAAAGTGCTTGGGCAAATGCCCAGATTTCCTCTACTCGAACCACACAAGCAGAGACTCTCAGAGACAGAATTTAAAGAAAATGGCCCAACTAACAATTATTGCTTCAACTCCCTCCCCCACCTCCCTCCCTCTCTCTCTCTCTTGTGCAGGTACCATCCCATAAGATGGTTGTCCAAAGTCTGCTTTAGCTTCTCCAGGGACAAGGCGCTCCCTCCCTCAGCAGTCCCGGCTCTTCTTCAGCTCATCCTTGTTCCCTCTTTTCCCGTCTAAGACCAGATACTTGAACAGTCTGTGTGCCTTCTTCCTTCCTGTTATTCCTTTTTCTGTCCCCGCCTGTGTGCCGACAACCCAGCTCGGGCCCATGAAGCCAGTAAGTGGACAGACTAGGGAGACAGGGCTCATTTTGGCATTTGTGGGGAGATATGCACTTCCCCCACCCCTAGCAAGAACTAACTGGACAGGCACATGAAAAGATGGTCCACATCCCTGATTATCAGGGAAATGCAAATTAAAACCACAGTGAGATATCACCTCACCCCAGTCAGGATGGCCACCACAGAAAAGATTACAAACAACAAATGCTGGCGAGGATGCAGAGAAAGGGGAACCCTCCTACACTGCTGGTGGGAATGTAAGCTAGTTCAACCATTGTGGAAAGCAATGTGGAGGTTCCTCAAAAAACTGAAAATAGAAATACCATTTGACCCAGGAACTCCACTCCTAGGAATTTACCCAGAGAAAACAACTTCTCAGATTCAAAAAGACATATGCACCCCTATGTTCATTGCAGCACTATTTACAATAGCCAAGCTATGGAAACAACCTAAGTGTCCATCAGTAAATGAATGGATAAAGAAGATGTGGAACATATACACAATGGAATACTATTCAGCCATAAGAAGAAAACAAATCCTACCATTTGCAACAACATGGATGGAGCTAGAGGGTATTATGCTCAGTGAAATAAGTCAGGCAGAGAAAGACAAATACCAAATGATTTCCTTCATTTGTGGAATATAACAACGAAGCAAAACTGAAGGAACAAAATAGCAGCAGACTCACAGACTCCAAGAAGGGACTAGTGGTTACCAAAGGGGAGGGGTGGGGGAGGGTGGGTGGGGAGAGAGGGAGAAGGGGATTGTCGGGTATCATGTTGGTGTACATGGTGTGTGGGGGGCCACAGGGAAAACGGAAAAACAGTGTAGCACAGAGAAGACAAATAGGGACTCTGTGGCATCTTACTACACTGATGGACAGTGACTGCAATTGGGTGTAGGGGGGGACTTGATAATAAGGGTGAATTTAGTGACCACATTGTTTTTCTTGTGAAACTTTCATAGTGTATATCAATTAGGATATAATTGGACCCCTGACCTCAGGATATCAGGTAGAGTTTATATTCTGTTCTGGGAAGGGTGGTAGTGGGGAAAGCATTCCAGAATGGGGTCAGGGCTGGCCCGGGACGAGGGCTAGGACGCCATCACTCCTCTTTGAGGAGCTAGCTCTCCCCCTGTTCCTCTTTCACTGGATGCCTCCTCCCACCCACCCAATCACAGAGGGGGCCTCCAAGCTCAGTCCCTTTCTGGGAAAACTTCTTCATGCCCGTCAGAACCCTATTCAGTGAGTGAAGACCTTCCTCTTCAAATAATACCTAGGAAAGTCATTTACAAGGTGCGAATGGCCATGAGCAATAAGGAAAGGGCCCGTCAGGATGACCGGTTCCTCGGCGCCCAGCCCAAGACTCACCCTCAGACATAGTGGCACGTGAAGTCCTGGGCTCAGTCGCTGCGCTGGCCCTTCCCTACAGCTCTTCAGACCATCCCACTGTTCCTCTGTGTGGAGCTGTGGTACCGACCTCCCCCTGGGATGCGCTGAGCTCCTTCAGGTATATTTTATTTGTGTTCATGCCTCACACCTGCTCAGCATGGAGCTCCGCTTATTGTGCCGTGAGTTCATGGTATTAAGGTCTGTAAACATGTTACTGGTGGCCCAGTTTTGCTGACTAGATGAAAAAGTGGAAGGCCACCTTGTCCCCCTCTCCTGTTTCTACTTTGCCCGGCCTGGCTGGGAGGAGGACAGGAGGATGGGGGGCCGAAGTACAGCAGCGGGGGCCACGTTCGCTGGAGAGAGGAGAGGGCTATGGAGCTGCTCCGGCTGCTGGGAGTGAGGAGGCGTTCCGCTGGGTGTCATGAAGTACAGCCCATCATGTGAGGCACTGCCTGGTACAGAGCATGATGGCGAAGCCCATGCCCAGCGGGCACAGCACACACCTCCTCCACTGCCTGCCTCAACCCCTGGCCCCAGTTCCATCTCCCAGCAATGTTGGAGCTGGATGGCAGGGTGAAGTGCTGTAGCCCCCCATCCTCTCCTCCTCCCCTTTCCTCAGGGTCTTCTTTACCCATTGTTTTCCCCTCACCTCTATATTCAACCCTTTCCCCAATCCCAGCAGTCCCATTACTGCCACTCATGACTCCAGGTCCTTGCAGGGTCCACCCACCACCCATTCCCAATGCTGTGTTCGCCATGACACACACAACACTGCCCAAGGTCTACCTTAAGCAAAGTCACCTGCTCAGAAGGAAAAGTAGAACTGTTGAGAGCACACTGCTGCTGCTGCGGAACACCACGCTCCCCTCACTTCAGATCCTTCTCCATGCCATTCTTTCTATCCTTCTGATGATCCCCTAGAAAACCATGTTCTGCTCTTATGAAATTCCATTCTAACCTCACATCTTTAAAGGAGTCGGCTGGGTTTGCACTGGTTGATTATGATTCTGGGGATCCTCAGTAGTCATAAGGGATAACATACCACCTTTACTGTTTCGAAAATATTGCAACATTTGTTCCCAAAACAACCCTGTGAGAACAGGTATTGTTAGTCCCCTTGCACATGTGCAGGACCTCAGGCTCAGCAGCAGTGACCTACCCAACACTACCAGCCCACAAGATGCTGGACCCCAGCGCAAGCTCAGACCCACCGGTTCCTGCTCCAGGGCTCTTTCTGCTACATCAGTTCCCCCACGCTGCCCAACTAGCATGCTTATTGTTAAGCACTTGTTTGTGTTGAAACAATTGTTCTTAAAGCCAAGCTGGTACTATGTCTCCATGTGATTGGGGGCCTCCAGCGATCAGAGACAGAATGGCCCTTTCTCTGATAGTCCTCAGAATCCAGGTTAGGGTTCTGCCAACCCAAACTGAGCCTGGAGGTAAGGGCAGGCACCGCAGACATTTCCCAGGGACAGTGGAGGTGGATGGAGGGGTGATGATAACAACCAAGGGCAGCCGCCATTTACTGAGCACTTACCAAGGGCTAAGCATCATGCCAGTCCTTTATTTACATTATTTAATCATCATCACAACACATTTCCGAGGGAGGGAGGTATTATTATTGACAGATGAGGAAACTAATGTTCAGAGACGTGGAGCTGAGGTGCAACCCACATCTGTCTGACTCCAAATGGAGCACATAAATAGCAAAATTTATTTTATAATTAAAAAATATGATAAACCCTTACTCCCTGAAGGCCTATCCTACCCTGACCCTTCCTTTCCCAGAAAATACAATTCAGGGAGACGAATAGGGCGGGATGTACCTCATACGTAAACACACACACGTTTTCTCACACACAAACACACGCATATCACTTATGCCTACCACCACCTGGATTTCCTAGCCACAGTGAGGGCTGTGAGGGGTGGGGGTCAGTTTCCCCAGGATCCTAGCCCTCATCCCCTCCCCTGGTGCTAAATAAAAGTGAATAAATACTAAATAAATACAACTGGGACCCACCCTGCCTTCCCCCTCCCGCCTGTGTCCAGCAGGGCAGAGGGGGCGGCTTAGGTAGGGGACTGCCTCCCGGCCCCTTCGGTCCACCGCCCATCACTGCCGTCCAGGGCAGGAACCGCGCCAGGGCCAGCCTGCGCTGTAGGCAGAGAGGGGGGCCAGGCGCACCCTCGCAGCCCCTCCCCACTGGGTCAGCCTAAGGCGGCTGCAGAAGCTCAGTCCGAGGCCCCGGCGCCCAGAAGGGGCAGCCGGGATAGGGAGGTTATTTCCTGCCCGCCCAGGGGCGCTGCCGGAGGATCTTCAGAATCTGCGCCTTGCGGTGCAGCCAGTCCTGGGGAGTGGGGCGGGGCGGTGAAGGCGCTGGCCGGGGCACGAAGAAGCTGTATCGGAGGCGCGCCTTCTGGGGGTTGCCGGCCACCAGGACCTGCAGCGTCAAGGGCTGGGCCAGCGGCCCGTGGCCTGACAGCGTCTCCGAGGCCGCGGTGGCCCCGCTGTAGCGCAAGCTGACCGCGCCCGGCAGGACCACGTCTGTGGGTGAGGGCATCAGCGTGTATTCACCATTGAGGGCATAGGAGCCATCTGGGAGCTTCAGGGCCAAGTAGAGGCTCCGGAGAGCAGGGGTCCCTTGCTGCCGGACAAGGATATGGGTGGCCCCTGCCGGGATGGTGACCACATCGTTGTATCCGTACCTGTGTGAAGAGAGTAGATGGGGAGCTCAGCATCTTCCTGGGTCTCCTCGGCCTGTCTGAGCTGTGTGATTACGCGTGTGCTTGTGTATGTAAGGGCTTGTCTCTCCAAACGCACATGAGGGGTCCAGCCTAGATCTAGGCTACACACAATGTGCCCTCCTCCCTCTTATCTCTGGGCCTTCATACCTGCTGTCCTCTTCTTGAGGTGCCCTTCTAAGCCCTACCTGCTTGGTGCCTGACCCATTCCCACTTTCTCTCGGGGAGGGAGGCGACCTCCTGGGGAAGGCTTCCCTGGTACCCACAAGGGTCCTCACAGCAGCCGCGGCTGCCACCTGTTGAACAGGTGGGACACTGTGCTGTAACCGCCTAACCGTCTCCCTGTGTCCCCCACTAGACCATGAGCTCTGAGAGCAGAAGCCGTGTTGAGTTCACCTCTGTATCCCAGGGCCCAGCATAGCGCCCAGGAAGAGGAAATAGTGAGTGAACCTGAATTTTCTGAAGGAGCCGGACTGCTTGCTGCAGCCAGAACCATCCCCACCGCACACCATGCACTTGTCAAACTTCTTTTTGGAGCCAATGACACGGTCACAGCCAGCATGGATGCAGCGGCCCTGGACACAGACTGATGAGCTGTCTGGGGAACAGGGGGTCCCATCTACCACCTGAGGAGAAGAAAATGAGAGATGCCAAATGTTCTTTCTAAGTCAGGAAGGGCTGGTAAGCCAAACGAGACCCATGTTCCATCAGGGAGGAGGTGGCAGGAAGGCCGGGCGAGGGAGCCTGTGGATGGCATGCGGAGCAAGCCCCAGCCACCGGAAGGGATGGTAATCATAACTACAATGGTACCTGTAAAAGCCACCAATTTTCTGAGCAACTGCTATGATCAGGTGCTGTGCTGTGTTTTATAAACATACATATAAATCTCACAACCACTATTTGAAGTTTCTAGAGATGGAACACTGAGGTTTAGAAAGATTAAGAAACTGCCCAAAGGGTCACACAGCTGGCAAGCAGGGGAGGCAAGGTGGGAACTGCGGGTCTCTCTGCATCGCCACACCAAGCCCTTAACCTTGATGGTACCATCTCCGATGGACGCTAGAGGGCAGCCGAAGTGTAGGCATTCTCCCCAGGGTAGGGCCAAGAGGGACAACCATGGCCAGGGCTGGTTCTTCCGTAGCCTTCAGCCTACGGCCCTATCACAGAGAGGGAATATCGGCCCTCACTGAGCCCAGGAGTCCTGTCCAGTGAGGGACTGACTGTCCCTGAGCTGAATGAGGGACTGTAAATCACTGTGATTTGACAGAGGATCCCACCGAAAGGGGATCAAAAACTTGCCCAAAAGGCCACATATTTCCATTCTCATGAAACAGAGCTTGGAAGGTAGGAGAGAGGGGAGAAGAACCGAGGGGGAAGGAAGAGGATGGAGCTGCTGCAGATGGCAGCCTATCCAGAGTCCTGGGCTTGTTTTCCAAATGCCCTCAGCCAGATGAATCTGAGTGGAGCCCCCTGGCTGGCCTGGCATAAATGGGAATGCCAGCAATGGTGCTGTTTTGGAGAATTTTGCCATGGGAAAGTAGAGGGACTGCTGGGGAGTGTGTGAGCATGGACAGGGTCTGGGGGTGTCCTGGCTCTCACCCGAGGCTCCAGCACATAGTAGTAGCCCAGAGCCCGGGCCTGGCACGTGAGTTTGCACTGGTCCCGGGGGGCCACACCCGCGTATCGAGGGACCCAGTCCATTGGCCCTGGGAAGTTCTTGAAGAGGTCGGTGCGGTGGTTGTAGGCAGCACACTGCTCTTCACGGAAGGTCAGTGCTGTGAGGGTAAAATGGACAGTTAGGGCTCCTCTCTCCTCACAGTGCCCCACACAAGCCCCTCCACTTAGCCCTCAGACTGCCAATAGCACCATACCTCTCTTCCCCACAGACCACCAGGGAAGGTTCCCGAAAGGTAAAGCCCCTCCCCTCAAAAGCAGAAGACAGTCAACACAGCCTGGGCCCGCAGCCCTGCCATCCCTTCCTGAGCTCGCCTGTCCCTCACCCTCACCTGAGCCACTTGGGCAGTCCTGGGCGTTGCAGGAACGGAAGCGGGTGTGGCGGCCCTCACAGTACTTGCCACCATTCCGGGGCACGGGCCGCGTGCAGTCCCGGGAGGAGAACTGGACGCCCCCTCCACAGCTCCGAGAGCAGTCACCCCATGGTCCCCAGGGGCCCCAGCCTCCAGCCTGTGGGATCTGCAGAAGCACAGAATGGAAGAGTTAGATAATATACCCTCTCTTGGACTCAGGGCCAGTCTCCACTCCCCCAGGCTCTCTGCCTCACCCCTGCCCTGGGATCTCACATTGAAGTCCTGGAGCTGGTCTATGTGGAGGCAGCGGCCACCCATGCAGGCCTGTGCTGGCCCACAAGGGGTGCCATCCGCCCAGGGTGAATGCTTGGTCTGGCACATGGCGTGGCCATTGAGATGGCCAGAGCACCAGAGGGCAGCACAGGGAGGCGGCAGCTGCGGACAATGGTGTGAGTCAGGCCCGAAGGTCAGCTGGCACTGTCGATCAGCATCATAGTCCTTGCCAGGGAATGTCACAGGCAGATGCAGGGGAGCCTCTGGCTTGTCTAAGAGACAGTGCCCTGGGAAGGAGGCAGGGGTATGAAGTCAGCAATGGGCTGAGGGGGCACTGTAGATTGCCAGCTAAAAGCCTGGGCTCCCTGGGGCCTGATACAACTGAGAATCCAAATCCTAGGCCTGGAAGAAGCTTTAAATAGCAGGTATCTGCAATTTACTGGGTGCTTATCATGTGATGAGTATTGGTTAAATGCTTGACAACACTATCTCACTGAATGGCAAACACCTATATAGTTACCATTATCATACCCATTTTACAGGATGGCTACATAGAGGTGAAGTTGAGTCTTGAAGCTGCCTCGCATCAACAATCCTGTCTGGAAGTAGTCATTCTGCAGGGCTTGCACACCTCCAGGGAAAAGGCAGTCACCTCTTTCAAACCAGCCCATTCCAGTGTTGGGCTGTTCTTAGAAGGTCAGTTCTAATTCTATTGACTCAAAACTTGCCTCCCCTAGCTGTGCTATTTATTGTGGAAGGGAGTGGGAACCACAGAGAAGACAGCAACATTTCTCACTCCAACCCACACTGCAGAGGAAGCACGTCTGAGAGGGTCCACCAGGCCCATGTGGAATGCAGAGAAGGAGATCACAGGGAGGGGCAGGCTCTGAGAGCTCCACAGGGACAAGGGACTGCCACCCGCTTACCATGGCCATTGTCCAGGAAGTCAGTGATGAAGCGGGCACTGCAGGGGGACCAGGGCTCTTCGGGATCCACGTGAGCCATCACAGGAGCCATGACGTGGCGGGAAGAGCTCCCAGGCCCGTTCAGACCGAGGCATGGCTTTGAGTTGTCATGGAGCATGTTGAAGACATGGCCTGTGAGAGCAGAGGTCCTGTCAGCAGGCCAAGGGTCCCATCTCTGTGCCCCCAGGGGCTGCAAGCCCATCACAAAGCTGGCTGCAGCTGGGGACAGTCAGATCCATTCCCCACTCCACCCTGACCTCAATATCATCTGGAGCTCTGGGGTCTCCTTAATATTTGGTCCTAATGCTCATGTCTCCCCTACCCTCAAAACACATTCAAGGCACCACCCCACCCACTTTTCCTTGTAGTCAGCATTCCCAACCCTGGACCCACCCATTCCATCATGACTGCTGTGCACACCCCCTCCAAACACACACACGCACAGTCCACAGTAGATTTCTACACACTACACATTTAACAGAAAACCCTAAATGTCTGTCTGCACCTAGAGCAGAGAAGGATGATGGCCCTGGACCTAGGCCTGAGGAGGAGAAGGAAGAAACACATTGGGACCCCTACTTGCACCCTGGTGAGCTCATTGTTCCCGCACCCCACCTCGAAGTCCTCTCTCACGCATCCCACGGGTCTCATGGCCCCAACCCCACCTTACCCAGTTCATGAGCAGCAGTGAAAGCAGATTGGAGCCCATCATCCTCCACAATAGCGCAGCTCCGAGCTGGGTCACACACGGTGCCTACATCAGCCATGCCCAGGGTGTCACAAGTGGAGACCCCACACAGGTCCTGCGGAAAGGGATCAAAGAAGATGCACGAGGAGCCGAGGCACTGGGGCCCACTGGGCAGAGACCAGATCAGTGGGGACCCAGGCACTGAGCCCCCAGTGCCGTCAGAGCCCAGATGCACTGGCAGTGGGCTGGGGCCAGGCACCATGCTGCACCAACTCCAGGGGCAACATTTACACACAGTCTACACAGGGGGGCTTCCTGGGGCCGTGCAGTGTGTGGTCTACGGTGCTGACCGGGGCCTCACCTGACGGGTAAACAGAATGGCTGTGTCAAAGTGGTCAGCATCCGAATCCTCAGGGGTATTGAGTCCTCGCTGCCAGGCACAGAAGCTGCGCAGGGTCTGGGCGGCACTGGGCCCCACTTGGGGCCCTTCCTCACCAGGCCCCAAAATCACTAGCCGAGTGACCACCAAGCTGACAGGGTTTCGGATGCTTGGATGCTTGAAGGCCTTGGCTGCCGCCGCCATAACTGTCAACAGGTAGCGCTTCAGCCCTGCCCCGTGAAATGCTGCCATCTTGTCGTCTGCCACCACCAGGGTCTCCACAAATCTACTCAGCGAAGCAAAGCGCTAGAGAGAAGAAAGGAGAGGAGGTGCCTGAAATAGCCTCCCAGGTGCTAGGGCCAGTTCTCCCTCCCTCACTTCCTGGGTCTGGACCACAGCAGAGCCAGCAGGGCGCACATACCCGACTGGATCCCTGCCTGATTTTGCTTGGGCCCTCCCCCAACCCCAAATCCCAGGGCTTTGGTGGTGATGCTGAGAAATCAGCTGCTGGTTCTGAGAAGGGGAGGAGAAGGGGGGGGCTGCCACGTCCCAAGGCTGCGTGAGCCCCAGAGGTGAAAAGCAGCTGGGACAGCCTCTGGGAGGGGCTTTGGGGTCCCCCAGGCCTGAGTGGGGCTGGGGCCTGCGGGGCTGGGGCCTGCAGGAGTGGGGTTAGAGGGCTGGGCTGCAACGTGTCTGCCCTCCATGTGGTTGGAGGAACAATTCAGTCAGCAGCTAGGGCCAGGGCCAGATCTCAGCTTGGCGGGTGTGGAGGGAGTCTGGTCTGGATTAAAGCTGAAGAGGGAGGGAGGGAGGGAAGCGTGGGGGACAGGAGTGGGAGGGAGGAGAGGCTGGGTCCCTGGGCAGCCCTGCGGTCAGTGCACAGCGTGGGACGCGGCTGACCAGAGGAGGGATGGGGTACCTTTCCTGCCGGTGCACTCCTGCCGGTGTGCAGTTTGCCAGGACAAATTTGGAGGCAGCATCCAAATCCCAACACCAATCCCTTGGGTCTCAAACTTCACTCCTTTAGTTGGTTGGTTGTGTGTGTGTGTGTGTGTGTGTGTGTGTGTGTGTGTGTGTGTGTGTGTGTGTTTGTGTGTGT